AAGAAAGAAAGAATAAAATCTACTGATACATCAAGACACATGATTTTTGAAGACACGTACAGTTCTAGCTGTAAAAAGAAGCAACGTAACTTTGTTCTAAGTTGAATGTTGTTATTGTAATATTGTTGATGTCATTGAAGGTATTAATTAAAATCTTGATTCTTTTGGCATGGAACATAATTGATCATGAACAGGAGGGAAATTATTTCACAAATAATTACCACACATAACAGTTTGTTTTGAAGAAGCAGAGTTACCAAAAGAATGCTATAACATCTGAATACAGTTTTGTGCAATCAAATCTATATAGCTATAGTGATATTTGAGAGAATGATTTTGTTTCTTAAAACAGTCAGAAAATATGACCCGGGCAAAAATTCAAAAGTTACCCCCTGAATACTTTTCTGATTGTACTCTAATTTCAGAGCTTTCATCAAAATATATCACATTATAACAATGATAATATCAGTAACAATACATATGAGTACCTTAATAGGAATGGTAGACATTGATCCTAAAGAATACACAATAAATTATGGATGAAATACAGAAGCTTCAAAGACAGATAATTTCCTCTTTGGAATGATACTATTAATGAATTTAGACAGTTTGATGATGCATCTAGTGGTATAGTATGTATTCAGTCAATGGGAGGGGGATGGGGGAGGGGGTTGGGGGGGGGGTACTGTTGTAATGATGGATAATAGAAGACGAATTGGCACGAGAATACTGCCGTAGACTGAGAGGAGGGGGTAGTATCACCCTCTTTTTAGGTTGCCTTTCTCCTCTCCATTACCCCTATTTTTTCTCCCTCCCTTTTGTTCTTTGCCATTGGATTGGGGGGGGGGGGGGGGGGGTGGGCAGTATATAATTTAAGATTCAATACCTTTACCAACATAGAGGAATACATAAATTGTTTCATATCTGGAGTCAATGTAGTACTTGGATGGCAATAAACTTAAATAAATACACAACTCAGAAAATACATGAATGTTGAATAATTCACACACTAAAGAATCAAGGTAGATCAATCAATGAGACCCCCCCACTCCCCCCCCCCCCCCAAAAAAAGGACAACAACAAAAAACCTGCCTCCCGGATATAGAGATGGGTTCCTCAATGTCTAATTAACCCCAAAGAAACACAGTAGCATGGGCGGCATTGTGCTACTCGGTTCAGATAACCACATCAATTTCACAATTGATTTACAGTAAAAAAAAAAATTAAAAATGTATGATTGAATACAGTGCATTATGATGCAGATGTGCACAAAATTATCAGTACCCAAATGTATAGTACTATTCTATTCAGATCATCCATTGTCTACTCAGCTACTTCCTACATTAATTTGTGTGTGGCTGGATAAACAACATGTATATCAGCTACCTCTGACTTGAAGGAAATATTGCCTCTTTAATTAGCCCGAGCATAAAAATACATGGCGTTACGCTTAGGCCTAAACAAAAAAGTGTTGTATTGCCCTTTAGGTGCCAAAACATGAGTCAGTCGGTCGGAATTTTTTTTTTTTCTTTTCTTCTTTCTCTTTAGGCTGATATTTCTCAGTTTTGAATGCTTTAATATTTTTTTTTCTCTAAAAAATAGTAAAAAACTAGATGGAATTCGACTGCGCGCAGTCGAAAATGATGCCTCCGTCATAGAGCAATTTTACAAACCAAAACAGAAGAAATTTTTCAAATTCAAGTTCAATTGTAATCCATTAACAGGTTCTCAGAATATCGTGATTACAAACAATTTCTCATATACATATATGACCCTTTGAACTTTGACCTCATGATCCTAATATCTACTCAGCTCATTGGCTCTGCAAGATATCCAGAGTTAAATAGTAATCCATCTGTCAGTTCTAATGAGAATGCGTTCACAAGCTATTTTGCATACATAATGAGCCCATGACCTTGGACCTTATGAACCAAGAATCTACACAGTTCATTGGCTCTGCAAGATACATAAATGATCTAAGTTTGGCAGGAATCCATCAATCTGTTCTAATGATAACGCGATCACAAGCTGTTTTTGCATACATAATGGGCGCTGTGACCTTTGACCTTTGACCTCGTTACCCAAAATCTAATAAGTTCATCGGCTCTGCAAGTAACATACATGACCTAAGTTTGGCAGGAATCCATCAATCGGTTCTTGAGATAACGCGATCACAAGCTGTTTTTGCATACATAATGAGCCCTGTGACCTTTGACCTTTGACCTCGTGACCCCAAAATCTAATCAGTTCATTGGCTCTGCAAGATACATACATGACCAAAGTTTGGCAGGAATCCATCAATCGGTTCTTCAGATAACGCGATCACGAGCCGTTTTGCATACATAATGAGCCCTGTGACCTTTGACCTTTGACCTCGTGACCCCAAAATCTAATCAGTTCATCGACTCTACAAGATACATACATGACCAAAGTTTGGCAGGAATCCATCCATCGGTTCTTCAGATAACGCGATCACGAGCTGTTTTTGCATACATAATGAGCCCTGTGACCTTTGACCTTTGACCTCGTGACCCCAAAATCTAATCAGTTCATCGACTTTGCTAGATACATATATGACCAAAGTTTGGTAGGAATCCATTGATCCGTTCTTCAGATAACGTGATCACGAGAACGGGACGTACGTACAGACGTACGTACAGACGTACGGACGGACGGACGGACGGACGGACGGACGGACAACCCGAAAACATAATGCCTCCGGCTACTTCGTAACGGAGGCATAAAAAAGCAAGGGGCAATACAACATTTTTTTTTTTTAGGCCTTACATGTAAAATGTCACAAGAATGCTTGAAAAGTGTGTATAACATGTTACTTGATGACATACATAGAGATGAATCTTTGATTGATAGAATTATGCACTTTGTGCTTGAAATGGTGATGAAGAAGTTACAACTAGGAAGATATATAATGTAGATTGACTCTTTTAAAGGCAACTTGGAATGGAATCGACAAGTGGATATGATATACATTAGAAAATTAGTACAATTTTTCAAAGACACACACTTCACAAGAATTAGATGAATGGTTTATAATATAAACTCAATATTTACACATAATATCTTACACAATATACATACAGTACTACAACCATCCTTCATAAACACACTTTCAATTTCCGTTTCATCGAGTATTTCAGACAAAAATATCTTGCCAACTTTTCTCAAGGTCTCATTTCAATACATATATAACAACAAAATGTCCTTTGCAATTAAAGTACCGGTACCTCACAATTTCCATCAATTTTGGTAAAATATAAGGGTTACAACTTACAACATTAATTGTTAACTAATAACATCCATTTTATGGTATTTATTTGTTTACAGGGCCCCCTGGAAGACAGTACTTTGATTACTGACAGGGCTACCCTGATTAAATAAAACGGAACAAATAAATAAATGTTAATTGCTGCTGGTGATTTTAAAATATTTCAATATTTGGGTCATTCCATAGGGTAGCACTTTTTATGACATACCGGAAGTGATAAACTATGTCTCCCATCAACCATAACAAATGTTTGCTCAAATTGAGTTGAGCATAAAAACATAGCCAACTATGTTTAGAAGTACTCTAGATTCATGATGAATCAATGTTATAGAACTAAAGTTAACATAATGTTGTATTAATGTGATTTCCATGTAACACTGTCAGAAAAAGAAATACACATTAGGAAAAGATTTTAAAGAGAAGCTTCATGAAGAACCAATATTATATACCCAAAGCTTACACAATGTTGTATTAATGTGATTTCCATGTAACACTGTAAGAAAAAAGAAATGCACATTAAGCAAAGATTTTTAAGAGAAGCAACTGAGACAGCTTCATGATGAATCAATATTGCAGACCCAAAGTTTACATAATGTTGTATTAATGTGATGTTCACTTGCAATTTTGCACAGAACACTGACTGCCAGAATAATTGCTTTGTGAAACACCATCATGGCTTTTGCAAAATTATCCATTTTAAAAATCTTGATTAGCTCTGTGACAACCCTTTTAACACAGGTATAGATTAATCTTGCTCTGGAAATATTAAAAACAATATTGATGCCTTTATTATATCTATACCATGATAAATACAATGTTGTACAGGGCGATTTGTGTGGCACGTACAGAGTTATGACAGCCATCTATTCACAAAAATGGCATTATAGATTGGCAGTTACAATAGTCTCCAGACAGATTCTTCAATGTATGATCTTATGAAATACATACGGTACATACATATTGATATTCATATAGCGCCTTTACAAAAACATGCTCAAAGCGCTTTACATTATGAAAATGATGACCGCCCACAACATGTGTGTGCTGTGCTCGGACACCTGCTTTGGTGACACAACTCAAATACCATTACTTTCCGGACTTTTCTAGACTCTTTCACAAAAACAGTTCTGTAGAAATACACCATAATCAAATTATAATGCTAAAGATAATATCGGCATACCCTCTCCAGATGTGGGGTTTTCCGGTCTCTTGTAGAAACATGCTGTATGATATGTGGTTGGAGTTGGAGCATTTACAGGTAAGCTTAGGTTAGGACATATGTTTAGATGACTGTGTTTGTTTCATGGCTAAAGTAACAAATTAGAGTCATGTAAGGATATTGACAGCAAAGCAACTGTCATCTGAGCCTGTGTCGTACATCCATTAAGGAAAGTGTGATAGTCATAAAACTGACACGTAACATATTGATTTTACAAACTCTTTCACAGACAAAACTTATTCCAATAGCTCACCCATACAGACATAGGAGAGTGTATTAAAGCTCATAAATATAATGAGGTCTTTGCTTTGCATTCTTATTCCTTTTCATCAAATATTCCATACAATGACCGAAAACATACATTTCATGGAAAATAGTTATCTCATTAAACATACAGTCAAACCTGCTTTAGTGACCACCTGTCCATATAGACCACATTTTTGTTTCCCTTGAAAATGTTTTTTTATTGAAACATGTAATAAAGGAACCTGTCTACACAAACCACCTGTCTACAAAGGCCACATTTTGTGTTTCCCTTGGGCGGTCGCTGTAGACAGGTTTGACTGTACTTATACTTGGAATCATATAAGAAAGATTGGATTGAATCCCTTACACGTTTGCTATGTGAGAATGTCGTCTATGAAATCCAGCAACCTCTTGTCTGATCTGTCCTTGGGGAATTTCTTGGACAGGGAACCCTGACAAAATAAGGAAGGACAAAATAGAATATATTAAAGCCTGTCTGCACTAGTTTGGCCAGGAGGGATTAGACCTCCCATCGTGGCCATGGCATACCTGCAATGATGCACATAGGCTCATTTCCTGATAGATTATCATCGCCATCATCATCATAATTTGTTTAAGTCAGCATTTTTTCTCTTACCAGGGGTTACTGACTTTTGCGCCATGATGACACTCCCTCCCTCCACTTCTTGTCTCAAGCATCCGCTTCATTTAGACCAACCTTATTGCTTTCTTTCTTCACCATATCATTTTCATAAAATATTAGGTCTTCCTTTCCCTATTATGCCATCCACTTTCAGATCTCACGCTCTTTTCACAGGTTCATCATCTTCCCTTCTCAACACATGACCCATCCATCTCAATCCACACTTCTCTTCACCACTTCCACCTGTTTCTTCCAGACCCAACCTTTCCATTCATATAATGTGTTTGCATTCACATTTGTATACTAACCTTCATTTTGTCGAGAAAGGACTCTTTCTCAAACCAAGTTTCGTTCAAAAGCACCATATCAGAACTGTCCTTATAGTATTCCACAAGGTATTTCTGCAAAGAGAAGGATTTTATGTGAGTACCGGTAAAGCATTTTTAAACATGTACAGCATTGCATTCTCCAATGTAGGTACAATTTTTAATGTCATGATTTTGTTACTGCTTTGTTCTAGCATTCTTCTAAAGTCTCTCTACAGTGAATATTGCAAAGATTGGGCACCATATAAAGCATAGATTCCCTCCCTGGCTACAGCCTGTTAAAGTAATAAATAACTTGTGTAGATGTCAAGCGTTTTATACGATATTTGGGGTGTTTTCTTTGATTACTATAGAATAAACTCCTAAACTTGCATGGAAATTAGCATGAGGTAATCTGGCAATGGTTTTGTGCAATCTTGGAAAGAAAAACCATAGTTTTTAATATATAGTAGGTTATTTGATTCTGGAATACTAGTTACCGGTACACAAAAAGCAGTAATCCTGAATTTTATACTTTGAACCACTAATAGTTTGGGGGCATACATGTATTAGAAAGTAAAAGGCTAGGTTATATTACAGACTACGAGAAGACTGCCTATAGAGTACCGAAGCTGTGACGTCATAAAAATCTATTTTGGGGATTTCTCAATTTTTTTCATATTCCGAAAGAACACCAAAAATAATGTCCAAATGTCGAAAACCAGTTGAATATGTTAAGTCTTGGCTGAGATATGACCATCTGAATAAATATACTCCCCATAGGAACTCAGTGTTATATGCTCTGGCTCCTAATGGTAAGGAGCCAGAGCATATAACACTGAGTTCCCATAGGACATATATTCATTCAGATGGTCATATCTCAGCCAATACTTAACATATTCAATTAGTTTTCGACATTTGGACATTATTTTTGGTGTTCTTTCGGAATATGAAGAAAAAATTGAGAAATTCTAAAAATATATTTTGATGACGTCACACTTCACCACTATATGACACATTTGTCAAATTCAGGGCCCTGTTTCATGAAGCTTGTTATCAATAACAAGCTACAACAACTATTATAAGCTACTGAAATTATAGCATTTGACTGGCCGAGAGCAAATTTGACATAGAAATGTTGTGTTTGTTATTGATAACAAGTTTTATGAAACAGGGCCTTGTTCTAAGACTTGGCAATCTTACCATCTCAGCTAAAACTTCTTGAGTGAGGAATATATCTTGTTGCCACGAGAAGCCCATGTCCATCGGCATACCGTACAGGCTAGCTTTCTCCTAATGAGAGGAAATACAGAAAGAGGTTTCTAAATTAACAATACTAAATCCTTGTTTAAGAATAGTGTCTTTGCTCGACATAATCACATCAATATGAGCTCTCCTGTAGGTTATTGTCGTTTAATTTGATTTCAAATCCATTGATGAAAAGCATCGCTGAATTTTTGTTAATTTGCAAAAATTTCTTTCACATTTTGTGAAGGTTTCTGGTTTCCCCATAGATATAACAAGATTGTATTTGATATGCAATGAGGTCAAAAAGGATGCTTCATCAGTGGATTTAAGGACTTTTTTTAAGGACTATTCTCTTATGACCCTCCTCCATTCATCCCTGTTTTTTTATACAATTTACAATGATTCCCAAACATGCCCCTATTTATATATCCCCCTTCTCATTTCTCTATGTATCTCATTCTAATTCTATCCCTCTGCGCCTCAGAATAGTTTACTAGATCGATGGCGCATAATAAATGCTGTATTATTATAATTATTATTATAGCATCCACAAAGTGAGTTGATTGAAGAATTTTACACCTATTATCAAGTTCTATGATGTAATACCAACTTACTTCTTCAGGCGGCATAACCCATAGTGCTTTCATCTGTGAGTCTTTGGTGGCCTTGTGTCTACTATAAGGAGCTGTGACAACAAAAATAGACATGTCTATGAACTGCACGATGGTAATTTCAAGAAAATTCCAAGAAAATTCCATGGGCATCATCACATAAAGACTTACAGAATATTTAACCAGGGGGATCAATCTTGCTAAAACATACATGGAATTGCCCAGGTACATGTAAACTTGTAGATCTAATGCTACAAGTTTAGTACATTAATTTATCTTTATATTCCAAACAGTATGTCAATCGAACTAAAATTTGTACTTGACCACTAAACCTCATAAATAAAATAAAATAATGTGTAATTCATACTGGTTGGAAGGATAGTAACTGGGTCATATGCAACCAAACCTGCTACAGGGAGCCTATTACAATTGTAGATTCTATACTAAATTTTTACCAGCTACCAGAAAATATTAGACAGCATATACAGGAGTACACAAGGAGACAACTATCCACTTTATATCCACAAAGTATAAATTTGAAGAAGACATTCTTTTTTTCTCACCACAGATCAAAGCTAGGCAAGGTTGATACGACATCCCGTCTCCTTTCAGTTTGAGTTGGTAGTTCATCTGGCATTCTATATCCCTTAGTGACGGGTGGGCGGGGCTACATGGATGACTGTGATACCAGCCGACCAGCTGGAGTCCTCTGCTCGTCATGGACTGACGGATCTCCGTCTCTACGCTGGCCCCGCTCTGCTTCTCACCGAGTCGACATCGACAAGGGAAGGCCTGGAGGATACTCATATCTACAAACAAATTTTGTTGGTAAAATAGGAATATGTTATTGCCTTCTTGGTAAGGTGCTGGTATCCAATCCAATCCAATCCAGATATTTTTAAAGCGCCAATATCTAGTTGCCTAATCAAAGGCAATGATGAGACTGAAAAACTACCAAAAATGTCTGTTCATGATTCTTACTGTGAAAGACAAAAAAGCAGTGACTAAATGTAAGCAATCTGAAATAGGTATGTCTTTAGTTGAGTTCCGAAAGTGGATAACTTGTGACAAGAGCGAAGGATTTGGGGAAGATTAAAAACAGATTAAAGAACTTCAACTTCACAGAACATATAATTTATGTAAGGACATTTAATATGGTGTTAAAGACAATTTTTAGAAACTGTTTCCCCAAAGAATTGAACAGGATTAACAGAATCCCTATAGCTAATCAGAGTTGTTCTGAAATAATATCCTATCAAACTGTTGACTACTAAATTGTCATACTGGTATTCCCCATGGGTCTTATCAAGAAACCATCCGGTTCGAGTAGGTGTTAAACTTACGTTGAGTTTCTGGATCCCACTTGCCAGCTAAATAACCTATCACTTCGCTGGTGGTGAGATGACAGTGAAAGTCCTGTTAACAATGAACAATCAAACAAACATAAATAATGTATTTTTCATGCAGTTTAATGATGTATTTACATCCATACAAATATTGCATCCCCATAATAGTCAGGGTTTTTTTCAGCAGACATTCTGTTAAAATGTGTAACATTGTTAGAAAGGTTGAAGATGTGGAGGAGATGTGAGTAACCCCCCCCCCCCAAAAAAGTCACCTTTTGTGTGACTGCTGATTAGTTTCACAGAAGAATATATCAACAGTTAAAAGGTAAAGATCTTTCCATCTCAAACTGAATAAAATCAGAGAGTAAAAGGAGAAGACTTTCTGTACAATGGCTGCCTTAATAAAAACAGGGAATAATTTTCCTGGTATCGCATCGCAATTTGCTATGCATTTTTGCATGACTGCTATACAAAATATCTTTTGTGTAGCAGTTTTCTTCCATAGAAATGTACAGAATTTCATTTGAAATATTTATCCATCGGCTGAAATTGCTAATCAAAAAATTTGAGGAAAATTATTCCCTGAAAAACCAGGGGCTGTATTCTTAAAAGAAGTTATCTTTTATGTTAATGAAAATGCTGTTAAATGTTATAACCAACAGAAATGTCATGGAACTAACTCTTACCGTTGGTAGTTGTGCAAATATATCTTCAGAACTTTATAATGTGAACGCATACAACTTTGTGCAGACATGAACGAATGCTTTGTCCTACTTTTGATTTCTTATGACAAATAACATTGTTTTACTAACATTAAAGATAACGTTGTTTTATGGAATAAAAACCAAGCTTTCTTTCTTTGATTATTTGAGGGCTGATTTTAACTTCATTATATTACATATTCTCCCTCCACGTAGTTTATGAATAGCCTACAGAGGCCGTTCCTGTTGATGTACAGATGCACTCTTTTTAGGCCTTCAGAGATGTGTCTCAATTTAGAGATAAAAGCTTTCAACTTCTCTGAAAGACGGACACTTAACCAAAAATTTCATAATTTCATCAAACCAAACGACTTGAATAACCCTGGTTTATAAGGTGAACGACACATGCTCCAGCATCAACTACTATGTGGACAACATTCAACACAAACCAAATTTCTAGCTTTAATGATGCGACAGTAAACCTAACCCTAACCCTTAAAACCTACTTTCAATCCTAACTCTAACCCTCTTATTTTGTTGTAATAAAGTCTAGAGCAAATATTGGATCACTGGTTTATCTCAGGACCAGAACAAATCTAACTTTGGAGAAAAACTTACCACTATAAGAAGACAGTTTGTGGTGATGGAAACGGTGAAAGGCTGAAGCTTCCCCATTTCTTTGAAAGACAGACACTTAACCAATGTATGTGGATCCCTGTTGATGATTTACAAACAGAAGAAAAAGTAGAAAGTTGATATTCATGGATGAAAGTTTTTTTTTACTAAAAGAATTGATGCTTTTAGAAGATGTGAGAAAATTGTTTGACCCCGGCCAAGCGACCCTTTGTCTGAGTTCAGTGTTTCATCATTGATATATTATCTACAAATTCAAAATGAAGAAGAATCACAAAGTTTAAATCAAAGATTTTTAGTCCAATTAAGGCCTCATGATCTCTCAAAATTAATGCACATGGACCACTGAGATAAGATGGGAAGAGGGGGGGGGGGGGGGGGGTGGTGAAAATAGGAGAGAGAGATGGGTGGGGGTAAGAAGAATTCTGAAGAGAAGAATAAGTATTCTTCAACGTTCTCTTCGGCTGGCTGAGGTTTGGTTTACCATGTTAATTATATCAGTTCCTGTATATTTTTTTAATAAAAACATTGGGCCATGTAACTATTCATGCCTTTAAGCATAAATTTCATGAAATATCTAGAAAATTTACCTCCAAAGGGCAGACTTACTTATTTGCACTTTTCTTTTTCAATGATGAATACTGAATGACTTTGGTTTTGGGAGGGCTATCGCCATTTTTCATTTTCTGAAGATCTGGAAAAGAACAAGATATGACACACATTTAGGGATTGTCAATACAAAAATTATCCTGATTTGGGGGTTCTTTTGGAAAAGGCATACATGTACAATCCATGTTAGGGAAAGCAAACTTTTTAAGGGAAGGCATACAATATTTAAAGTGCTCATTTACATTGACATGGCAGAGAACATGTTTTGGAGCAAACAGTTTGAACAGACACAAACTTTCACCTGGCCCTTATTGGGGAAGCCAAATAATGGTTGACAGTACTGTTAAAATGATCATCAGACCAGATACAGCTGCAAGAGATAGTAGCAACTTTCCTTGACAAATTGAAATATTCTCATTCTTTACAAACATTCTTAAACATATAGATATATTTATCTACGTAGCTTCAATTCCAAAGGCCACTTGTGCATAACTTAAGTACGGTTGACACAGTCATTAGATTTACATAGTTAGGCAAATTTGAAGAGTGCAGTTCATTGAAAAGAGTGTAAATATACCTGTATGTCTTTTGTTGTCGTTATCAACCAGGATTCATAGATAGATAGAAATGGTTAATTAAAAAGATCATCACAGCCACCGGCTGCATTGCGATCAATTTCACAAAGATACAATACAATTGCAATTCAAATTCAAGTCACACAAAATATGACATAAATCAAAAATCAAACATATAGACATTTCATAAAAATTCTTTGACCAAATTCTAATTTTGTTAAAAAAGAAAGAGAAAGGGAGAGGTGTAGGAGAGAAAGAGTAAGAGTGATGAGAAAGAGAGAGAGAAAGAGAGAAAGAAACAGAGAGAGAGAAAGAGAGAGAGAAGGAGAAGAGAGAGAGAGAGAGAGAGAAGGGGGACAAGGGGGGGGGGGAGAGAGAGAGAGATGAAAGGGGAAAGATTCATAAAACTAATCACCTATTCTATGATTATCATTCTCATCCCCCAACTTCCTCTTGAGATTCTTTGTAACCTTTGACATCGGTGGACAGGGCCGGTTGTCTTCTGAAACCTCGTCATCGGCGTCACTTTCTCCCGGCCTGCCAGGAGAGTGGTTACCATTCTCAAGCAAGCTGGAGTTGTCGTGGGAACTATTATCATCATCCTTTGAAGACATAATGAAAGATCAGAAATGAAAATTATAATGGTTGATCTCATAAAGTGTTCCCCCGCCCCCAAGGATACAATTGTACTAAGTGCTACTCCCCTGGCTTTAGCCGAAATACCATGTTAAGGTGCTCCTGCATTCTAGAAACTGCTTTCCATTGGGTCACTATATACTTCATCTAAGTTGACAGTGGTAAGTGTAGAATAATGTCTTTATGGAAAAAAAAATTGAATAGAAGTAGATTTATAGATAAATTTCAGAGGTAGCTCTGGCGCCAAGTTAATTTAAGTATTATGGGACAGAAGACCCTAGAAAAACAAGAGAGGAACAATTATTTCAAGGTTCATTCGATGTAGAGATCCTCCACATAAAAAGAGCTAGTAATACACATTTTAATCATAACAAATAACAAATCTTGGAATTTGTGGCAAAGTAATCATGGATTCAGTACAGTGAACAAGGACAAATGCATTTCCTTTACAATAATAACTTTGCTAGCATATGTTCTTACCAGATAAGGAATCTTCATGTTTCTAAACCATTGTGACTTGACAACATCAAGCTTTTTGCCATTGTATTTGACCTGTTAAAAAAAAAATAGAGAAAAGAAATATAGATTACTTGATTTAACAGATGGTTTGATAAATTAATCTAAGGAATCAACAGAATACATCTTATGCAGTACATGTGACCATATTCTCATTAAATCATACTGTTGTGAAAATCTCTCATAATTGCATTACTTTCATTTCATTATCCTACAGGTTACAAAGTCAGGGTAATCTTACCGAAGCCCATCCACATCCAGATCTCTTGCCAGGATTGAGAATGGATTTGATGTGAATGGCCCAGGCACTTGGTGAGTTGAAGATTTGTTTCTCTTTGCTCCAAAATATTCTCCCATCTGTCATCAGGTCGGCGGTGAACTTACTCCCCTGAATTACAAAAACGATACAATAGAATAACAAAGTATTTAGTAATTATGAATTCGTATAAATAACAACAAAATTAATAATGTATTCTAGGAGAATGGGACACACTTCATAGTAGATTATGACATCTTCCATTTCACTTACAAATGAAGAACTTCAATTGCATGCTTGTCCCAGAACACTAACTTTTAGATAAAGACTTTCAAAGTGATTTGATCTGTTAGTACTTGAGCAAATTATTTGTTCTGGGGCTCTTAAGTTTTCAACTCCTCAATTACATTGTACCAAAAATTCATCCTGATTCATTAGCATTGTAAAATGTCAACACACTTCCATTTCTTATAATTTGTTGTGCTTTACAAAATAACTCCTTCCATAAATTTCCATGCAAATTGGATTACCAAGAAAGGCAGCCGTTAGCTTTTGAACCTTCATCTTAACATGACATATAGTGTAGCACCTTCCCTGACTTTCTATACTATTAGTTGTACACTTTCTGAGTACTTTACAAAAGGCAATCATTCAAGCCTGGCCTCTCAGTGGTGGTTCATTAGGTTGTGTGGGGGGGGGGGGGGGGGGCATTGGTCATGTGCACCTTAGCAAACCTAATCTAGCACAATACGCGCACACAAAAGGAAAACAAAATATATAAAAAGTGCCAATGTTGTAAAGTGCTTCAATAATCTATTAAACAAAGAAGACATCTCCAAAATACAAGGACCCTTCTTATACTCCTCCCTCCCCTCCCCCTTCCCTTGCCATACAAGAAAATCCTGGATATGCTTACCAGGTATTCAATGGAGAGGCAATCTTTCCCAGCCTCGACTACCCCATCACCCATGAGCATACTCAGGGTCACTCCTCGTCCTGTTAGTACTTTCTCCTTCTTGGGCGGACTCGTTGTGAAAGAGTCGATGCTGTCAGCCTCCGACATCGTCTCTGCTGCCTCGTCATCCTTCAGAACATCCTTACGGTCTTTAATGAGAGATAGTAATATGATCATCAAAGACAAGTTATTAATTTGTAATTAATCAACAAATAAATAACATAACTATTATTCACTTTTAACAGGCCAAATACAATGTAAAAAAGCAAAACAATTAAGGAACTATGAAGCCAAGGATTCAAATTATCAACGTTGATCTACATCATAACTCCTTACCTATATAGGGCCTACATTAAAAAAAAAATCAGGATAGCTCGCTCTCTCTCTAGACTCTATGTTTAAATTTAAAGGCCAAGTCCATTCCAAAAATAATTTGTCTTTGATAGATGCAGAAACACAAGAGAAAGTAATGAGGAAATTATGAATTTTTGTTTATTAAAGTATGAAAAACTAGTTCTATGGAACTTAGAAAATCACTCACACATTGATATTCCAGTAAAATCTTTGATTTTTTTACGATTTTTTTTCAGCATCCTTAAAGAGTTAAGTATTTCATATAGACCTCTAGTCTAAGTTTTACTTATAAGTTTGAAAAATTAAATTTTCATTTAACACATCTTCCTTTATTGGAGGAGCTCGCGCCTTTGAATGTTTTTTGAAACAGATAAATGGCGCCATACAAATGCTGTGAATCATCATCATCGACATCGTCATATTTAAGGTACAAACTTGCAAGTTGTACTGAAATGTTTGTCAATTTTTTTTTGTCGTATTGGCATTGTCATTGTGCTCTTTGCTTAACTTAACTTAGATCTAGATCTAAGTATAAAGCCCAAGTTCTCTCACTTAAATTCGAAACCACTCGAGTGGGTCGGCGCTCGGCCAATGGGAACGCGCCGTTAGGCCTATTCTAATTATATTTGCCGTTTTCTAGCTGTACAGCGCCCAATCATCTATGTGAAAAGTTCATTTGTAGAACAAACAACTAGTATTACTAGTATTAACAAGCAACTTCACTTCATTCACTTCACAAAGGTCAAATCTTATCACATTCACACACGTTACAAACTGACACAGTCACAGTGTGCAGTGGTTGTTGAAATGAGCCTGAGCCGCGCCGCGAGCCGGTTAAGTTCATAGATCTAAATCATATTCATAACATTAACAATAACACTTCAAAACATTGTCATTTCTTCTTAACGAATCATCATAATAAAATGTATAACATTACCCATGAATGAAATCAGGATATTTAACACAAAGTAATAGCAATGACTACAGTAAAATGCAGTTGCAGTTGCTAACAGTTTAGATGACAATTGAGTAAAGTGAAGATGATCCGCATGTTATCTGTCTCTCTTTGTTTTCTTCCGTGTGAGAAACACCTGTAGGGATTCCATCTCCAGGAAGGGGGTTGCAGCCTAATATTATGGAACTGATCAGTATTGCAAAAGTAAAATATCACACAATCAAATAAATTCATACAGATTTGTAGAATCTGTATGATTATTTCGATCTTTTTAAAGGGTTATGTAGTTATTGATATTCAATCAGTATGACATTTAAGTATAGATCTCTACACCTTTAATATTTTACCCCTACAAAATAAAATAGAAGTGCCCATGTCCATTTGCAAAGATGGCTGCTTTTGATGCAATTTCGCTCGTCGAGCAGTGTGAGCAGCAAGAATTAGAGGTGAGATTTCACGTTTATGTTTGCGAATTCTGATTAACAATCAATAGAATGACTTTGAAAATTGAATTTGAAGTGAAAATGACTCGTATTTGGTGTTCAATCTGTGTGTGAGGTGGGTAAGTCGATATGAGGTTTGTTATTTGTATGGTCCCACACAATCAAAACCACGTAGGGGCCTACGTAATACCAGTAGGGGTGCTGGTCTGAGAATAAGGATCGTCTTCATAAACGAGGATCGTCTTCTTTACTTTAACACAGACAGATACGTCCTAAAAAATAAGGACCATCTGCATTTTCGCAGACGTTTCATATTTTTGATCGGCGCATTGGCGATGCAAAAAACGGATTCTGCAATGATTTTCTTGATGCATTTTACATTGACTTTGTATTGTACAGAGACCTTCAGTTCACATTATGAGCAATAAATCCTTGGGAAGACGGACAACCCATAAAAGTAGACGGTGAACTAGGGTTATTTTCCCCCGGGGAATCCATTTTTGGCATCGCCAGCGGGCCGTTCTGTAACATGAAACCCCCAGAGCGCCGATGAAAAAAAACGTCCGCGAAAATGCAGATTACCCTTATTTTTGAGGACGCGTTTTGTCCTCGTATATGAGGATATTCTTGTTTATGAGGACGATCCTCATTCTCGGACCAGCGCCCCTACTGAATACTGGCTCTGCCGCTGGATCTGGAGCGAGCTGTTGATCTTGCAGCGGTTACATTACGGTCGCCGGTCGCGCGCCCGATGAAGTCCGGGGCCGCGCGCGGCCCGAGCTGGTGCTAGAATTCGGGAGAGGCGGCTAAGCACAGACTCACAGAGTCCATGCTAATCCTATTGACCTCTTGCGCTATATCATTGTGCTGAGAGGCATCAATTTTGTACACACGTGTAGAGTAAGACCGCCAAACTTCGGACACTTAAGACAAAACGGGGGAAAACATTAAATTCTTTTTTTAATTATTGAAAGATCAAATATACTATTATTGTGCAAATACTGTTTATGTATATCATGAAAAGAAAATTAGTAAAGGAAATGGAAAACTAGAATTATTTACTTACCCGCCGAACCTTTTTTCATGCCAAGCTTCGAACGCACTTGCCAAGCTTCGGACGTTCATGAGTAGGGCACGTATAACGCACGTATAGCGCATAGCGCACGTACAGCGCACGTATAGCGCGCGTGCTAAAGTGCGCATTCATCGGAGGTTTGGAAACCGGATCAAAAATGGTACGACGGGGGTAAGTTTGACTGCGTTGATTACATGAAAAAAGTATTATTTTCTTGTTTTGGGTAAATTTATTTTAGGTAGAACTATCAGAAAGGTGTTTTTCACAACACTCACACAATATTTTGGTGCTAAAATCTTACGAAAGCGCTATTTTTTCGTAATCAAAATGACACTCAATGTTGCCTGTCCGAAGTTTGGAAGAGCGCCATCTTCGTGTAGGGGTACCTGTATAGTACCGGCCGCCATTAGAAAATTTTCGCGATAGAGTGAAAAAGTATCTCATAAGCTCCCATAAATTTGGCAGAAACCATGTGAAATATGCCAAGGATTTCTTTGTAATCGATATATTGAAGGCTCTATACCTTAACTCCCCTGTTAAGGGACTGTAAAAATCCAGGTAACCTGAAATCTGTCTCTGAATTCGATGTTTTTTGTGAGTTTTGCAGACGGCAACCTGCCCTAACTTTCTGTACTAACGATGTAGGTTAGTATAGTAGTAGTATCAAATGCATGCAAGTTACCCGCCTGCGTTATTTTTTTATGCGGCACAGATTGGGGCTTTTTTTTAAAAGGGGTCTTGATTTACAGACTAATAGTGGTCGTGTGCGTACTAGACAGTATAAGTAGTCGAGGTCTGTTTTTAATAGTGTTACATGTAATCCACTGCCGTATGGAAAATCATTACATCAACAATTAAAATGAAATTGGAAATCTGAAGAGGAGGCAGCACGTCAATAAGGAGAACATCACAATAATTAGTCAATAAAACTTAACTAACTTAAGCGAAGAGGAATGTTATCTAAACACATAGTTCGCGATGGATATTCAAACTTCTTCGCAGCGCTAATGCGCTAGCGAATATGACTAGTCTCACGTACGTGCAGACACTATTCAGAAGGGAAAGGACGTACTTCCCATAGGCTCAACACGCGCCATGCCCCAATCTGTAATCTGTGCCGCATAAAAAAATAACGCTACCCGCCTGAGCTAGGCTCATATTTTGCGTTCGAGCCGTTGAAGTAATTTTTGTCCGAAGTTTGGCGGTGTCCGAAGTTTGGCGGTGTCCGAAGTTTGGTGGTTTTACTCTACAAAACAAATGGGAGAAAATACAAATTATTGTTGAAATACTTTTGAACAGATTTTGATCAAACAAAGATGATTAAATATGCACTTTCTCATATGATTCACAGCAAACTGCACCACAATACAATTGCATACTGTACCGACGGTGGGGTGCGCGTGTGCGCGTGTGTTCAGTTAGCGGACCGTAATGTTGTGCTGCAGTTTGCTGTGAATCCCGTAAGAAAGTGCATTATTATAAGTAGGGCTGCGATGAGTAGTCGAATGCTCGAGTACCCGCACTGTTGACAACTACTCGAGTACAATTTCTCATACTCAAATATTTAGCAACAAAAAAAAATAAAAAATTCCCGGTCACCTGGCACTGTCCAGGACGACGCTTACCTGTGCCATTTGATGAATATTTACTTCATTTTGGGTATGTTTTAGTAGGGTATCTCTTCGCCGGAGTTACGGGTCAAAGCTAGTTTGGATAGACTTCTGAACTAGCGCCAAATTATTTTGTGTAGCGCCCTCTGCAACAAAACTCAACTATCCCTTTAACGTCATAGGTGTGATTTTTAGTGAATTATGGTGAATTTTGTGTATTGGTTGAGATTCAGTACAGGCCTACAGGGTGTCTTTTACCAGTAACCAGTGACAATGTTGAAGGTTGATGAAAAAATTGCATGATTTTTGTATGAAGTGTTACTTATTAAAATCCTTAATCCTCTAACATGCTCCTGGTACTCAAATGAACTTACACCTTCCATCCTCCCTCTTTCTCTTCTCCATCTTTCTCTCTCCTTCTCCATCACCCTCTCCCCCTCTCTCTCTCTCTCTCTCTCTCTCCCCCTCACTCTCTCTCCCCCTCACTCTCTCTCCCTCCCTCTTGCTTCTTCCATATAGGCCCCAGGAGGTGTCGCCTCACCAGAACTCTATAAGAAGCTGCTTGCTCTTTACCTTCTACAAAATGATTTGTAAGTAATCTCAAATTTTATCAATGTGCAATTGTATCTTGTAAATTAATTTCTTTAAATGTAAATAGTATTGTTGATCGACTTTTACATCAACATCAACATCAACAGTTTAGGGAAGAAAAGGTGGTTCTGTTGGTCTTCCGGTCGCTTCTTCTTTTGGTTGTGATTAACAGACGAAAACAACTTTGAGGGTACACTAGAGAGATGGATCACACGCAACATACTGGAATTTAGACCAATAATTATTGAGTAATCTTTTGAAAATATTCAAACTGGGTGCTGTGACCGTAGACTGAGGAAGATGGATTCCAGTCGGTGTTTGGAAAATAAAATAATTTTCATGAAGTCTGCCAGGAAATAGTGATGTTACTGACTGTATTACTGGGTGCGTAAATCCTTTGTGCAGGATCGATTATGACCTTTTTCCTAGGTTCATAGACTGATATTTTTGGTCATTGTGTAATGGAGTCCAATTAACGTCAAGCCCAGCCTGTGATATAACTTCCACAAGGATTATTTGCTCCTGCTCCTGCTCCTCCTCCTTCTCCTCCTCCTCCTCCTTCTCCTCATTCTTCTCCTCCTTCCCTTTCTATATCTTCTTCATCTTCTTTTTTCTTCAGCTTCCTCTCTTGTTGTTCTCCTCCTCCTCCTCCTCCTCCTCCTCCTCTTTCTTTGTCTTTCCCTTCCTCTTTTCTTCCCCTCTTCTTCCCCTTTTTGGCTTAAAAGGCAGAGCCACAATTGCATCAAATTCAAGTATACCAGTTTCATTGAAAGCATATTATATCTTTGTTTTATATATTTCGGTCTGTACCGTCATTGCATGTACATGTACATAGTGCAGGACTACAATTTGCCAATGTTTTCTAAATATGCCTGTTGCCTTCTCTTTCAGAAATAATGCAAAATTTTTGTGGAAGAGAATTCCAGCTGCAGTGAAAACGGTAAGTCTGTCTCTATATTATTCTTGAGTATGCCATCTGAAGTTCTGAACAAAGCCCATTATTGATCTGATTGGTTAAAGTCAGTTGGTTTCAATTTCAAAATGCAAAGTTTTTATCTATTACGTTTTTTTTTTTACTGTTTAAAGAGTGGTCACAATTAGACTTCATGTTAATACACCAGCTTACTAACATATTCTAATTGTATGCACACTTTTAAACAAAGTTTGTTCTTGACAACCTGAATGCCTATTTGAGGATTGCCCAACATATCAACAAGTAATGTATGCAGACTGGATTATAAGTATTGTAGTTCATTCATTAATAACAGGATAATGAAGAACTTGTTACAAGTCCCCATGAAAGAAACATCCATAAATCTGAATATGTTAGTGAAGTGGTCTATTGGGCAAGGACAGTTATATTTTAGCCAATGTACAATGACAGAACTTGTGTTGCCTCGAAAAGCCACGCAGTGCCTACTCTGAGTAAGTGCAGTTCACTATGTGAATATTTTCCCCAAATAGGCCGACCCAGAACTTGGCTATATATGGGAGATTGGTCAGAACATGTGGCAGAGAGATTTCTCCTCGTCAAAGTTATATAGCGCCCTCAACAGAGAATGGTCTGATGTCATCAAGGAAATCATCTCAGCACTTTCAGGTATGTTTTTTTGTTGTTGATTCTTCAGCCAGAAAAGGCTGCATTACATGCACACCAAATCTACATATATTCAAGTTAATTTATTGATTAAAATCCAAACACAAATGATGATTTTAAATTTTTGGTTTATAAAGTGTAATACAGTGAACCTGCAATCACCTGTGTAGAACCTGTCTATGAAGACGCATTTCTTATTTCCCTATAAAATTGGTTTTTTTTTTTACTGAAACCTGTACTTCAGGGATATTTACAACAAGAACAAACAAAAAACATACATAGAATTGATCTGTTTTCGTCTAGAGGAATTCCAAGTTACATGTATAAATTATATATATATATATATATATTTTGTTCACACTGTGCATAAATAACAATGTTTGACATTTTCTTCTTGTTTCTTACAGTGAAAGTGTCGCTGTGTTGTGTGTGGATAATTTATGTGTAACATTTGTCAGATTAAAACGATTGTACCCTAGTCCAAGAAGAATGTAAAAATGGAACTTTTGTGGATCCTTCTATGGGAGCTCATCTAGGTTCGATCTGTTAATCACACTTTTGTCTATTTAAAGGGAGTGGATCGTCAAGTTATCATGTGCAGAAGGTCATAATTAGCTTACACCAGACTTGATGGAAATACCATTAGGCCTAAAAAAATAAAAAAAGATGTTTCCCCTTTAGGTGCCAGAACCTGTGTCGGTCGATCAGATTTTTCGATCAGATTTTTTAGATTTTTTAAACTCTCCCCCCCCCCCCCCTCAAAACAGCAACCATCACCCCCAAAAAACTCAAAATCTAGAACGTTGCCCAAATCTTGCTGGTTTCTAGCTTTTTGTTAATGCCTTAATTGGTGTACAAGTCTGCACACCGCAAAGCTGTAGACCAGTCTAGAAATACCCCTTCATCTCTCGGAGATTCTTTGAGTGATGCAAATGTCAGATAATGACTTTGCTATATGGGGAAAGGCAGAGCATTACAAAAAGCTTGTTGTTTATAAAAATGAAGGCTAATCCTGGTGATTGACAGCACCTGTTATTGGGTTAACACCCAAATGGTGTCAAATTTCCAATGATCGCCCACTTCTATGTGTCTTAAAGCAGTCTTTCCTACATGTTTACATTACAGACTCTATAAAGCAAAGGCTATTCCAGCTTGTAGGCAATACATACACATCAATAGAAGACGATCAGTTTGCATCCTATCTCGGAATGTCCAAGGAGCAAGCCATCAATGGTAAGTATTTGTAGGTCAGTCGATACACCAGTAGTCATAGAACTATCTATCTAAGTATCTTCTCCCTGTTCGGAGGTTGATTGCAACATCTCTCCATTTCACTCTATCTTCTGCCATTCTGGTGCACTCTTGCAGTTTTAGTCCACTCCAGTTCTTGACATTCTCTTCCCAGTTGATTCTGGGTCTCCCTTTAGGTCTACTTCCTTCCACTCTTCCTTCCAATACATCCTTTAAGAGGCTTTGGTGCCTTTTAACATGACCAAAGTATTTGATTTTTCTCTCCTTAACTAATCCTACTAGTGCAATTTGTTTACGCCCTGCCATGTGCAATATCTCTTTGTTGGTTTTCATTCATTTCCAGGATATTTTCATCATTCTTCTGTAGATCCACATTTCAAAAGATGTTATTCTATTTTCCATAGAACAGGATGATCTTAAAGCCATACTGTACTTCAAGCACTACTGCCGAATAGCAAGTAGGGTTTAAGTCGGTGCACCCCAGCAGCAAAATGATATCTATATTTTGTGTAAATTAATATCAAGTTGGGGTTAAGATATTAGCAGGATCCAACAACGGCCTGCCTGTGTAGTCTGTAATTAGTGTAATGATTGAATAGTGTAATAATTGAATATCTGAGTTTATTTGTCATAAATCTTTGACATACCTCAATATTTTATTTGAAGCAAGAACAGAAAAAGAGAAGTATGAAAATTAAAAAAATCATGTGTAAATCTTGCACTGTAAAAGTAGAAATATTTGCGGTACATTATTTTGTTTATGGATTTTGTGCTTAGATCGGCAAACGCCAATTTAAGTACTTGCGAAAATATAAGCATGACTTCTTATGCGTGTTTCGAACGGCCTGAATTGCGTGCAAAGTGAATTAAAGAACCAGGGAATATGGTGTGGGGTCGCTCAGCGCGAAAAATTAATCACGCAAAAATAATAGCGTTTACCAGTACAGTAATAGAAAGTCTATAAATTACTAAGTTTGTTTTTCATACGTCTCTGAATTTCATTTTACCATTTGCTATCAACAGCTGTCCAAGAAGAAGGTTGGTCGTACAACTCTACTACTCAAATGATTTTACCCAAGAAACCAGGTAAGCACATGATGTCATTAAAGGGATAGTTGAGTTCTGTTGCAGAGGGCGCTACACAAAATAATTTTTCTGTGAGATAATGAAAAACTGAGTGTCAAATTTGAAAGAACATAATATTTAAATGACAAAATCATCTTTGTTTGACGGCTGAAATATAACGATTTCTAATACTTGTGTACCACCACAAATATTAGATATTTTGAAAAATTTGAAAAAACGAAATAACGCCTTTTACGTCGTATTTCAGCCAATGACGATGTAGACTTTTTTGTTTGCATTTTCGTGTTGCTTATATTACCCACAATTAGCCGGCCCATGTATTGTTATTTTTAATTAAATGATTAATTAACGGTCACCATGTGTTTTTTTTAAGTGGAGCTGAATTGGTATGATCGTATTGGCCAAATTTCACACATTTTGGGGTTTAAAAGGGCACTATAAATGTCATAGATAAGAATAAGAGCAATAACCATGAACTTTGAAGACATTTGCGGTCTGAAAACAGAACTCAACTATCCCTTTAACATAAATGAGAAAAAGTCATTAGAAGGCTCGGCAGCAAGGGACAATCATGGTTAATTTATCAACTGATTGATAATTTTAGCAGAGATTTTACATATATTGCTGATAGAATATAATTTCAAGAGTGAAAAGGAATCAAGACTTTAATAAAAGTTATATTTGGTCAGGACAGGAATTTGGAGTATGCCTTAATAACACAGTCCTTATTTTGCAGACTGTTAAAAGAACAAAAAACAAAAACAATGAATGCTGCAGACTTTCTATGAAATTGGACATTAGAAAAAGAAATATGTGAAGTCAATTTTCCATTATTTGTTCTGTATTTGTTAAGCCTTAATCCTTCTTACCCTTACTTATATTGTTTGCTTCTGTTTATTTTTGCTTATCTTTGCTTACAGTTCCATCAAGAGAAGCTCCAGCACCCAGTGAACAACAAATAGCTCAACTGACCGAGTTTGTCGCTTTCTTAGAAAATTGAAAATACGTGTAACTCCACCAATGAAAAAGTAGGCAAGAAGATATTGAACAGTTCTCCAGCTGACGCATTGTAGCCAGCTTTTGAGACTTTGGATACTTTTCATTCAGACTGAAGGATTTGAAACTGAACCAACATCTTTAAAAAGAAATTCAGTATCTGGAACACATGCCTTTCTTTCCCTTGAAATGCAGTGAGAAGACTTAAACCGTTAACAATTTCCCCCATATACTAAGGAAGTGATACATCTGCACTTTGACGTAGTGTAAACTAAAGACAGTCTATCGTTCTTCTCTGAGTTACAAACTCTGTATTTATACCTACAAAAAAAAATATACACATTTTTTTCTTCATTTTCATGGGAAACATGCTCACAGGTTTTCCTCCTATTATTTACTCAAAGTTGATCTTTGACCTTTATATTTCCAGAGCACTTTCCTACTTTGTAAGACTGTCCTACTTTTTTTTAGCCGCGGATGGCCTGATCCTTATAACTCAAGTCGCTTGGAGTAATCCACAGGGATTATGCTGTCCATGGCTTAGCACAAGCAGTGGATATTGCTTTAGAGACCACCCGCAAAATTCAAATAAGCCAGATTCTGGACCCAAACACGGTAGGTTTTGGGTGGAATGGTGGATAGTGATTATTGGAAGCGTATGTGTTACATTAGAACTGAAAAGCAGTCCACATCTTCATGTAAATAAGGCTTTTTGCAGTAACATCATGGGATATTTGCAGAATGTGCCCGACTGGAAAGGTGGAATACTTAATAGCCCTTTTACTTTAAAGACATAATATAATGCTGGGGATTATGAGACAGTTGGACTGTGAAGAAAACACAGTTTTGTAAATAATCATCTTGTAAATGTCATTATAGTGTATTAAAATATGTGAAACATATAAATAAACAAGTATGTGTGAAAATATGTTCAGTCTCGATTCATGCATGCTGATTATTTTTTTTAAACAGTGTTGTGGTAAAAGATGGGACATGGGGTTATGAAGACATTCTTTCTCTGCGTTTCCAATGGACTTAAAGGAATAGACCAGTTTTTGGAAAATGCTTGTAACTTTACCAAGACTGGGCCAAATTTCTTATAAATTTGATGATTCCAGAAACTTGCAACACACCAATACTTATATGCTAGATGATCAACCTTTTCTGACGTTTCTTTCACAATGCAATCGCGTGACCAAAACTGGTCTTTATCTTTAAGTTATTAAAACTGCTGCTTTAGCTCCGGCAACCATAGTGATCAGTGCATTCAGGGAATAAATTCTGCCAGGTACCCACTTATTACACCTCGGTGGTAATCGAGGTGGTGGAGGCTGTGGTACAGGTGGTGGAAGGGGGTGGCAGTTGAGTACACACAGGTTGTAAGAGAGATGATGGTATAGATGGTAGCTGAGGTGGTGGAGGCTGTGGTACAGGTGGTGGAAGGGGGTGGCAGTTGAGCACACACAGGTTGTCAGAGAGATGCTGGTATAGATGGTAGCTGAGGTGGTAGAGGCTGTGGTACAGGGGGTGGAAGGGGATGGCAGTTGAGCACACACAGGTTGTAAGAGAGATGATGGTATGGATGGTAGCTGAGGTGGTAGAGGCTGTGGTACATTTGGTGGAAGGGGTGGCAGTTGAGCACACACGGGTTGTAAGAGAGATGATGGTATGGATGGTAGCTGAGGTGGTGGAAGGGGGTGGCAGATGAGCACACACGGGTTGTAAGAGAGATGATGGTATGGATGGTAGCTGAGGTGGTGGAAGGGGGTGGCAGTTGAGCACACACAGGTTGTAAGAGAGATGATGGTATGGATGGTATCTGAGGTGGTAGAGGCTGTGGTACAGGGGATGGGAGGGGATGGCAGTTGAGCACACACAGGTTGTAAGAGAGATGATGGTATGGATAGTAGCTAAGGTGGTAAAGGCTGTGTGGTACAGTTGGTGAAAGGGGTGGCAGTTGAGCAAACACAGATTGTAAGAGAGATGATGGTATGGATGGTAGCTGGGGTGGTAGAGGCTGTGGTACAGGGGGTGGAAGGGGGTGGCAGATGAGCACACACAGGTTTTAAGAGAGATGATGGTATAGATGGTAGCTGAGGTGGTAGAGGCTGTGGTACAGGGGGTGGAAGGGGTGGCAGTTGAACACACACAGGTTGTCAGAGAGATGCTGGTATAGATGGTAGCTGAGGTGGTAGAGGCTGTGGTACAGGGGGTGGAAGGGGATGGCAGTTGAGCACACACAGGTTGTAAGAGAGATGATGGTATGGATGGTAGCTGAGGTGGTAGAGGCTGTGGTACATTTGGTGGAAGGGGTGGCTTTTGAGCACACACGGGTTGTAAGAGAGATGATGGTATGGATGGTAGCTGAGGTGGTGGAAGGGGGTGGCAGATGAGCACACACGGGTTGTAAGAGAGATGATGGTATGGATGGTAGCTGAGGTGGTGGAAGGGGGTGGCAGTTGAGCACACACAGGTTGTAAGAGAGATGATGGGAGGGGATGGCAGTTGAGCACACACAGGTTGTAAGAGAGATGATGGTATGGATGGTAGCTGAGGTGGTAAAGGCTGTGTGGTACAGTTGGTGAAAGGGGTGGCAGTTGAGCACACACAGATTGTAAGAGAGATGATGGTATGGATGGTAGCTGGGGTGGTAGAGGCTGTGGTACAGGGGGTGGAAGGGGGTGGCAGATGAGCACACACAGGTTTTAAGAGAGATGATGGTATAGATGGTAGCTGAGGTGGTAGAGGCTGTGGTACAGGGGGTGGAAGGGGTGGCAGTTGAACACACACAGGTTGTCAGAGAGATGCTGGTATAGATGGTAGCTGAGGTGGTAGAGGCTGTGGTACAGGGGGTGGAAGGGGATGGCAGTTGAGCACACACAGGTTGTAAGAGAGATGATGGTATGGATGGTAGCTGAGGTGGTAGAGGCTGTGGTACATTTGGTGGAAGGGGTGGCAGTTGAGCACACACGGGTTGTAAGAGAGATGATGGTATGGATGGTAGCTGAGGTGGTGGAAGGGGGTGGCAGATGAGCACACACGGGTTGTAAGAGAGATGATGGTATGGATGGTATCTGAGGTGGTAGAGGCTGTGGTACAGGGGGTGGAAGGGGGTGGCAGATGAGCACACACAGGTTGTAAGAGAGATGATGGTATAGATGGTAGCTGAGGTGGTAGAGGCTGTGGTACAGGGGGTGGAAGGGGGTGGCAGATGAGCACACACAGGTTGTAAGAGAGATGATGGTATGGATGGTATCTGAGGTGGTGGAGGCTGTGGTACAGGGGGTGGAAGGGTGGCAGTTGAGCACACACAGATTGTAAGAGAGATGATGGTATAGATGGTATCTGAGGTGGTAGAGGCTGTGGTACAGGGGGTGGAAGGGGGTGGCAGATGAGCACACACATGTTGTAAGAGAGATGGTGGTATAGATGGTAGCTGAGGTGGTAAAGGGGGGGGGGGTTCCTCCAAAATACACACATAAAAGATACCAAGGGGGGGGGTTCAACCCCCCCCCCTCCCCTGCGTACGCGCCTGGTATGTGGTATGGGTGGAAAGTGAGACAGAGGAGGCTGTTGAAGGGATGATATCTGAGACGGCAAATTATAACAATGGTAGTATAGATGGTAGTTAGGTGTTCAAGTAGTGGTAGAATTAGTGTGAGGGTGGTAGTTGAACATACAGATGTTGTAAGAGAGATGATAGTATGGCTGGTTGTTGAGATGTTGGATGTTGCAAGCGACAGAATGGTATGGGTGGAGGTTGAGGTGATCATGGCGGTAAATTGAGGTTTAAAAAAAATATTCCACCATTATATGACCAACAATGTATCTTCTGGCATATGGTGACCTCGCTTCATTTGGTTCTCGACAAAATCATTTGATTTATGAACCTTCCAGGATATCCTCAGCATCCTCCTCCAACACTACATTTCGAAAGCGTGGATTTTCTTTCTATCTGCTGCTGCTCCAAGAGCCCACGTCTGCACACCCATAATTTTATCTTGGGGTGGACCTCACTTTAAAAAGAAATTGGCTGTCATTAAACAGTTATGAAAAAAAAACAGTGATCATTATAATATGATGTTTGATACAACTTTGTTTCACTCAGTACGGTGACATTTCTTTTGTGTGTACTGTTCTCAATGTACACCTAAATGTGCTTTTGTAGGCCACACCCTAGCCACTGTAATTGAACAGCTGCAACGTACCCCTTCCGTTTCTAAAGTAAACTTTTCGAAACCGATAGTGGTAAGTGCTTGAAAATGAAGACAGGTGAGATATTATAATTCAGCAACTTCCATGTCACAGACGGCATGTAATAAGCTTTGCATGATTCACACGTCACACCTGATGAGCATTCAAAATATCTACTGGAAAGCTTCCATTTTAAAATTAAGTTGTGTATACTTACTTCTTTATAATGAGATCAATATAAAGTGTAGCAGTTGTAATGATCACTGCATTATTCAAGCACGACAATGAGCCCTTCGGTTGGCCCCTAATTACGATTTAATCATGAAACTGCCGACAGAAAATGGACCCCAAGCATTGTCATGAGTCCACGGTGTATAGTTTGTTACCTACAACAACATTTATATCGGTAATGTCTCTAGCTGTCATGTAGTGGCGGGCAGCTTGTTTCAACACACAGAATGACTAGAATACAAATAAAATATATGACTGAGGAGGTTCTATTCTCTTTAGAGGACCTATATGATATCCGTAATATATTTTGAGCAGTGCCCCAAGGGAGAAGGGCATTACAAAATCCAAAAAAAATGTATACGATAAACGGGATTTATCCGTGAAGAGCGAGTACGTCACAATCCACTGACCAAACTTTCAATTTGAGATTCGCGTAGAACTAGTGATATCATATTTCACACATTCAACGCGTTCTTACTATTGGTTCGATTCTTGTCAAACTTTCGCCATTCTGTGTATATTATATATATATATATTTCATCCCTTCTATCACCCCACTCCGCAGGTCGTTCTGGTTTACGTTCATCACATAATATTAGACTTAAAGAAATACGTACCAAACGAAATTGGGGGGATAGAGCATTTGCATCAGCAGCTCCTTCTTTGTGGAATAAGTTACTTTTCTCTATTCAGACGGCCAACACTCTCTACTTTCAAAACTGGGCTTAAAACTCACCTGATGCTCAATGCATATTGTTAAATTTCAATGTTCTTTTTATACAATGCATGCAAAACAAACAATAACATTGTGCCACATTGTATGTACCTTGGCACCATGAACTTGTATGATCTAATGCAAGTTAACATTTAAAATTTGTTAATCTTAAGTATGTTGAATATTGATTTAAATTATTTGTTTGCGCCTTGAGCATCTCTAGAGATGGATATGTTGCGCTTTATAAATATTGTTATTATTATTATTATTATTATTATTATTATTATTATCATTTTGCTTTCATTTATTACAAGGGTTAGATTGCCATATCAGTACTGGTAGATGCGTACAGCTACATATAGTGCATGACCGGGGGGGGGGGCATGGGGCATGTAACACTCCCCATCAAATGGAGAAAAGGAACGAAAAGAAAAACTGGGAGATTAAAAGAGAGAAAAGGAGGCCCGGCCCCCCCACTCAGTGTTATTTAGGGTACGCATATGCTCGTACCCTCTTTTTGAAAGCACCCCCTATCTGAGGACTGCCAACATTTCCGAACCCCCCTTTCGCGGGCTTTTCGCGGGCTTTTCCTGCCTTGGAGACCCCCCTAAATCAGGACAAATGTTCAATATACCCCCTTAAATTCGGAATAATTTCTCAGGAGTCCAAAGAGATAAGAGAAAAAAGAAAAACACCCCCTTTTTAAAGAAATCTCCGGGTGAAAAGTCAAATACACCCCTTTTTTTACAATTCTCGGGCCGGACTTTGTCGCACGAAAAGTACCCCTTTACCGGACATTTTGGCAACACGCATGCGGTCATTCCGACCTCTGAGTGGGGGGGCCGGGAAAGGAGGAAAGGACGAGAAATGAGGATGAAAGGATCCCTTCGATCCGTACCACCCCTTTTGATCTTGTTTATTTGTATTGAGGTACTTGTATATATTAAATTTGGTTACATTACGAAAATGGCCTATAGTCTTGGGTTTAAAGGAATATAAGCGACGTACATTTAGAGAATAACAACAAAACCCCTAAGCCGGCCCCTCGACAAGCCCCCCCCCCCCCCCCCCCCCCGGATTGCCACGCAGTCAGTTCCTGGATTCACGCTTCAACGATTCGTTTAATAAAGTGCCAAGGTGAGCTGCACGAGATATAAATATGTTATTTATGCTATTCATATATCGGTATACACCGCACAACCAACGGATTAAAGTGAATACCCGCATTCACCACAAGCAATTAATATCACCGAACGTCGCAGGCGAGGATACGAGTATATCTACCACTAAACCAACAGCAACAACACGTCTGGTTGTATTCTATCGTCTCATAGATACATAAATATATTTGATATTAGACAACATTCAGCTGGTATCCGATAAAAGTTTGGAACTGGTATTGTAATCGAAGAAGCAACATGTTGTCACCGCTGGGGCTGTATGCATGCTGCATGTGCACGTCAATCTTAACCATTGCCAGGTTTGCTTCAAGTTGTAAGTATACGAAACAAGCATTAATCATCGAAATTAGAAATAGAAACAGAATTTTATGTGACAATGCGGTGTTCATCCCGTAAAGAACAGACGGGAAAACCCATTTCATGATACAGTGCTCTCATTTAAGAATATTTGCGAATGTGATAAGTCTTTATAATAATAACGCAGAATGATGATTATGATAGCCTAGAAATTAAATTTGTGTCACCTCTATCAGTACTAAGACATGGATGATGATCCTAAACTATACAGTATTTGCTTCTTTTGTAAATGCATATTGATTATTTATAAACATGTACTTGATGATTTTTCTAAAATAAATTTGTATTTTTTCACTCCTTTGTCGGTCTGTATCCACTTTTGAAACTGACATTTGCAACTCGATTAACTTCAATAACGTATTTATTGATAACTGATTTTAATTCTATCTGTATAGTGAACATGTTGAATGTAGTGTAGACTTGTGGATTCTGTTGCATTAATTTTGAATTTGAATCTCTACAGCACATGAAGTGAAAGTCAAGCATAATTATATAAATGTTCTTTACCTCATTCTCCCCCCCCCCCCCTCTCTCTCCCCAATCGGAAGAGTGAGCGCGTGGGGAAAGAATTTGGGGGAACACGTGAGCTAAAATATAAGGAGATGGTTTGCTCGAAACTGCTCATGAAAGATTATACTATTATGTGAAAAAACCTTTACAACCGATGAAACACGATTTGATTTCATATTGAGTATTAAACCTGTCAGAGAAACTGACTCTTACCGTTTATTGATCGTAAATATCCTTGTTACAGTGGCTTTACAATCACATTATCTTACCATAACTATTCTTATTATTTTAACAAGGTAAAACATCAGTATCAATGATCGTGGAAGAAAAGACACTCGATTATTCCTTTTCTTTAAGTGATTAATTTTAAATAGGATCAGTATAATATACATAAAGATGAAAAGAGTATCTTCATCGTAATGGTACTCGGAGATTTTATTTAAAAAATGAAGTGCCTCAAAAATGTAAAAAAATCTTTGAATGACTGGTTTTACCATACTCATTTCCCCCAATAGACCGCAGTGTTATAAAAACCATAAGGAAAACGTTTTTTGAAATTTCGATTTCCAACCAGAAATATCTTGATAATCAGACAGGCGATCGGCTTGTAAAAGTCATGGGGTTCCTGACTGACCTAAAGGTTTATAATGAGCTAAAGCAAGGATTGTGTTTAAGTCGGAAAAGGCCACTCCGTGTCAAAATTGGGGTCCTTGGTTTAGTGAATTCAAAATTTTAACAAACTGAGTTGAAAAATTAGAGTAGTTCTAAAGTTGTTCGTTTATACGCTCTCAAAATTGATAGTTTAAGTTTAATGATAGTAAAAGTAATAGTAATAATAACTTCTGGATTGATGAAGTAACAGCCATAAAACAGCGTTTCTTGATATTATCAAATACATTTTTGTTCTGCCTGTAGATATATAGCTGGGAAAATAGCGTTGGCTATTGTGTTGATAGCGAAAGTTTCAAGGTTGAATATATAGTTTTTTCTCACAGCATAGGACATATTCTAAATCAATATGAACATATCAATACCAAAATGTGAGGAGCTCCATGCATGCTCTAATTATATTAGTTGGAAGGGCGCCATTCTGTTAAAAGTTTCAAACAACAGACTGAGTATATCTTGTCTATCAAATCCAACTTATTCAATAAGGACATGTTTTATGTAATAGTTTGTAAAGTTTAGTCAAGGCACAATAAGGCCTACCCAATAGCTACTAACATAAATAGTTGACAAGGTAGCATGTACTTTAAACTCCTACCAACCCTATAACATTATTTTAGTGGGCAAGCTTTCGTCCATCAAGCCAATTGGTTATTCACACAGTTTATTGATGTCTGCTATATAATTATAGGCAGCCTCGCGATCATTGGAGCGAAGATACGGTTACAATGACAAGCCAGAGTCCCTATTCAGTGAAGGATTGTGATCAAATAATTACATGATATTATCAAGGACGTTTTAAACACAATCATAATTTATTCAGAACATATTTGTATCTGGTGAAGTGTGATGGAACTATACAATTTGCGCATTATCATACAGCTCATGCGTGAAGTACTTGTGAGTCACACGTGAAGTACTTGTGACTCTATTTATTTTCAACTTTCAATTCGAATAATTTTATTTCCAAAACTCAATAAAAACATGAAAAACTAGTTGATATCAATTATCATGTGCAATGTGACAAAAAATGAAAACGTTTATTTGTAATTATTGCATAGTAAATGTCGATAAGTAAAACACCCATTTTAAGATACAATTTATATTTAAACATAATATTTTTTAATTAAGTAGTATTTAAAGGAAATTGAGAAATCCAATAAAAAGCAGTGCTCGTATTATTGTGGATTACTCAAGGAAAAAAAGACCATGAACAAAGATTGTATATTCAATACAAGAAGAAACATCAGTCAAACAGATTAATGTGATTTACAAAAAAGGAATAAATCATGACTTTCTCATTGAAAGCAAGTCATTCTTGAACGGCTCTTTACCTTTAATGAATGTCTGTATCTAGTTTGTGGATAATACTTCGTACGCATCAATGAAGATTAAATATGATATATCAGCCTATGGTGGTGAATGCTAATATTTAAAGGGATTTCATTTGATCTCGTGCCATGAACATCATTTCATTAAATTCCATTCCATTCCGTTCAATTTTTTTCTTTCATTTTCATGTCATTTCATTAAATTCCATTCCATTCCGTTCAATTTTTTTCTTTCATTTTCATGTCATTTCAGTCCATTTCAATTCATTTCTTTTCATTTCATTTAATCTAATTTAATTTCTTTCCTAAAGTTCTATTCCATTTCATTTCATTTCATTTCATTTCTTTCCTAAATTTCTATTCCATTTCATTTCATTTCTTTCCTAAATTTCTATTCTATTACATTTCATTTCATTTCTTTCCTAAATTTCTATTCCATTTCATTTCATTTCATTTCATTTCTTTCCTAAATTTCTATTCCATTTCATTTCATTTCATTTCATTTCTTTCCTAAATTTCTATTCCATTTCATTTCATTTCATTTCATTTCTTTCCTAAATTTCTATTCCATTTCATTTCATTTCATTTCATTTCTTTCCTAAATTTCTATTCCATTTCATTTCATTTCATTTCATTTCTTTCCTAAATTTCTATTCCATTTCATTTCATTTCACTTCATTTCTTTCCTAAATTTCTATTCCATTTAATTTCATTTCATTTCTTTCCTAAATTTCTATTCCATTTTATTTCATTTAATTTCTTTCCTAAATTTCTATTACATTTCATTTCATTTCATTTCTTTCTTAAATTTCTATTCCATTTCATTTCATTTCATTTCTTTCCTAAATTTCTATTCCATTTCATTACATTTCATTTCTGTCCTTTTCAGTTCACTCCACCTTTCCCTTTCATATCAACATGGATACACTTGCTTTAGCCCAAACTTATTCTTAATTAAACCCACACACGTACATTATCTACATACAACACTTTCTCACATACTGTGTATAGTATGAACTTCAGAGCATATTTACTATCCTCATGCATGTTTGTTTTCCTATTGAAATCAAGTTCAAATGCATGTACATTTTATGTTGTCATTATTGAGTATGCACAATCAATAAATGACGCACACGCGGGTATGCACATTGTCTTATCATGTTTACGTAGATTATTTTCTTCCAGAATTAACAATTGTGTTCAGATTCAGATACAGATTAATTGTATTGGTCCATTTGGAAATTCAGTTGTTGGCATAACACATGAACAATATACATAGAAAATAATATACACACAAAGATAAGACACAGTAGCAAATTTACAATGACGTAGTCATGTAGAAACGCGGATTCGAATCCTTTTGTACATGGAATCACACAAGAAAATAAACGGACTTACAACAATATTGAAAATGTACGATTGCATAGAATTCGGAAATATTATTGTTATTATTTTTTATTATTACCCTTTTTGCTAACAAACGGAAAAAGGAATGCATAACAATAACAAATATGTTCCTATTACCATTCACGCTATTCAATGTAATTTCTTATATAACATGAAACATGATATAATTATATATATATGTTTTGTATATATGCTCTTTTTTCATAATAACCATCAACCTAAGAAGTACCCACTTCCATAAAATCCGCCATGGATCAATCATGCCGCCCGCAAACACCATGAGTAAGCTACCATCATGATTATACGCAGTCTGACATAAGGTAGGCTAAGTCATAGGTGGAGGGGGAGGGGGGGGGGGGCACCAGTCTAGATCACTGTTTTTGTTGGTGTTTTTTAGCCACGGAACCCTTTTAAGATATAAAAAGCTTCGCGTCCATCCTATCCCAAATTCACCAAAAGAAGATTCACTTTGCATCACTTTGGCCCTCGTCAATTGCTAGGTACACAAGTACGTACGGGCAAAATTTGATATTTAATTTTGAACTTTGGAAAAAAAAGAAAATTTTAATGTTCAATTCACATGACATAAAAATCAATTTCCAGCTGTTTCCGCAAATGTTTTTAACAATATGGTAAAAATTATTTCGCAATCAACATACTAGATAAGACTTACACAAATGCGGGCACCTCACTGAGGAATATACTTGAATACAATCCAAGGACCAAATTTACAATTTGAGATTCGCGTAGACTTAGTGATTTCATATTTAAAAACAAATCATAAATTTCTTATTATTGGTCCGATTTATTTTAAACTCTTGCCATTCGGTTTATATTATTTTTCTGCTTTCACACACATGAGCCTATTACAACATTTGATTCCCTTTAAGCATTCTGAAAAGAAGAAACTTTCCCATGCACGTTAATAGAGTCATAACTACACTCATATAAGCTGTATATGATAATGCTCAAATTGTATAGTTCCATCCCAACGTGATGCAAATATTTGCTAAATATGTTTATGTTTGATAACGTCCTTCAGAATGGCTGCCTTCAATTCTGTAAAATTCAAACAAAATCATCGTCATATCATCCCGAGAGTGAATGGCATCCGAACAGTCGCCATTGAGGAGACTCAGCACCCGGCATGGAAGGGGGGATGTGGGGGGGGGGGGGGGAGGGGGGTACCGCTTGCATACGGAACATCAGTGGAGGGGTGTGCGAGGGGATCCTTTTGTCTCCCTTCCTCGTCCTTATCACAATAGTCTTTCCCCCTTCCTCTCCCTTTTTTCTTCTTCCTATTTTCCTTTTTTCTTCGGCATTAAATGGAGGGGGGGGGGGGATTATGTCTCCCTATACCTCCTGTATCTACGCCAATGATGAGTTGCATCTATATACGAACTTGTCGATGTGAAAGCTCTCTCTGGTTGTGTCTCCTTCGTTCGCCTCGCTCCCTCATTAGAATCCAAAGTTTTGGCCTGGCGAAATGTTCTTCTTGCTTTGGGTTGTAAACATCCACACCCCCCCCCCCCGCTCTGTCGACATGACCAACAATAATTGTAGCCCCCCCCCCCCCCCCCCTCCTCCAGCCCCTCATAACGATTACTCCCACAACAGCGCACAACAATTCAGTTTCTTCTCTCTTGCCAGTCTCTTCACTCTAAAAAACAAAGTGCAATTTTTACCGTTTAAAAGGGCCGATCCAACAACTTGAATGTTGCAAGATGGACCCAGCCTGAGCCCACGCTACGCCACTGAACGCAGGGCTGTACAACGCATCATGACAAAGGCTGCCATTTTTAAAATGTGGTCACTCCACTGCCCTTTTGAAGTATCGTACAAAGTACATCCACGTAATCTTTTCTCTTGTATCATGTACACATTTCTAAATCGTTTGGTAGTTTCTGTTTAATGTAAATGGGTGTGATGATTCGCATTCATTTTGTGATATATTTACAATTATAAGTGGACAAATTCTAACGTAATTCGGTTTTTGTTTTTGTTTTCTCGTTTGAATACCAAGAATGATTCTGCATCAATCAATCACAAATGGATGCATATTACTTTTATGCATGAAAGTTATATACCAATACCATGCATCGAAAACCTACATTCTCCCTACGGCAGCAATATTTGTTTATTGGAGAAGGATAAAATTAATATCTATAGCTTAAGGAGTAAAGTCCAGAGTTTGCTGTATCGTTTGCTTGAAACGGTTTCTACGTGAAATGAATACAAACTTTTCGATGGTCTAAGTTTGCATAACTTCTGACCTACAGCAAATACACAATGGCTTTTATTTACATACATACCGTGATCAGCGGGACAGAGGGCAACCCCCCCCCCCCCCCCACCGGCTACCTTGGACTCCCAAAAGACACTCTTTTCTCTTGTCCACGAATATTTATTTTTCGGAAAAGGGGCATCGCAGTATCTGGTGCCCCCTTTATATAATAGTTCTCCCGTGTTTCCCTACCCTTCCTCTCTTACATTCCCCCCCCGCCTTCATGTACCCCCTTGTACCCCCCCCCCCCATTCCCGCTCGCCAGAGAATCCTGGATACGCCAATGTCGATCAAAGCAAATTTAAATGAAATCATCAATTATTATGACCGCGTCATGGTAAATGGTTGCTATGGGTTAAATGAAATGTATTAAGACACTGCTATTATGGACTCCTACGCCACCAACCCCTCAATCTCTCAATCTATGGTTTTGGTGTTTTAAATTTCTTCTCTCTTTTATATATGTGACCTCCCCCTTAAAACATCATTGTTCTTCAATCACTATAACCATGCTACGTACATAACTACATTAGAGGCATAGTATGCATGTTTCAATTTATGCAATTCATACACGAGAACATAAGATAAAGACGACGTACACAAACTTTGCAAAATCGAACTCGAATTATATTGAACTCCATTATGTACACACGAGAAGAAAACGGGATAGTGAAAATCTTACATTAAAAAGCTACACATCAAATAACCAGAATTACTACTTAACACGCGAGAACGTGACGTATGGAAACTCATCAAAATCAAAACTCATTCTATTTTCAACTCAATGGTGTACAATAAAAGAAGAGGGGTTATTGAAAGACAATTAAAAGGATACACATAAAACTAACACCCAGTACTACGATTTAATTACATTTCGGTATTCCGGCATATTTTAAGCTCAAGATATCATACGCTCATAATTAAAATCCTACGACAGTTTTTAAAAAATACTTTTGACATTTTTGTTTGGACTCAATATTGAAATGAACCGATTCAGACAAAAGTCATCAACACATCTAATTGAAATACTACTGCAAATAGTTGTAGTTTGTACGAAACATGTATACTTCCACCAGGCGCGTACGCAGGATTTTTTCAAGGGGGGGGTTTTAACATTTATAAATCGGTCCGAAAATTTCGCAACGACTCAGCCAGCCGCTGAATAAGCGGGGGGGGGGGGGGGGGGGGGGGGGGGGGGTAAGAGGACACTTTTTTTTTTTTTTTTGGTCTCGAAATTTGGAAATTTGACATTTTGCTCCGTTGGGGGGGGGGTAAGGTCACCTTTTTTAGGTCGGCCATGGGAGTAATTTTTTTTTTTTTTTTTTTTTTTTTAATAATTAAAAAAAAAAAAAAAAAAAAAAAAAAAAAAATCCAAAAGGGGGGGGGGTTTTAGGTTTTTTTTAGGGGGGTTTACACACAAAAAATTTCCAAAGGGGGGGTTTAACCCCCTAAACCCCCCCCTGCGTACGCGCCTGACTTCCACTGAGCTATATATTAGTAAAAATAAAGATACTTTCGTGAAGGCTTCTGATTTAGAACAAGAAAAAAAAAACGGTTTCTGCGATTAATAACATTTCCTAATAGCGATTTAAAAACTGTTTTTTTTAAAAACTTATTCCCTTTGGTATATTTCATTTGTAGCTTATCTTGGCGTTGAGACACTCCAGTGCGATACCGATTTCGACCGAAATTCGACGACGACGACGACCACGACGGCGTACTACGATGAGAGAGAACAACCACTGACGATATGCCATGGACAAGCTAGCAATGAAGCAGGGGAGAAACATCAGGTGTGATTGGGTTTTATAGATTCTCTCCTTTCTCTCTCTCTCTCTCTCTCTACCTTGCTCAGCGTCCTTCCTCCCTCCCCTCTCTCTATTCCGCCATCATTCTCTGTCTCTGTCTCTCTCCAACTCTCTTCTTCCCCTCACTCTTCCTTTCAGTCCTTTCCTCTGATTCCCTCTCGTCTCCATATCTCTTTCTTTCTTTCTTTCTTTCTTTCTATCTCTCTCTCTCTCTCTCTCTCTCCCCTCTCCTTGCTTTCCTTTCCTATGGTTATTTATTATCAAATGATCATTTTCGAAACATTTGAACAAACTAAAGTCTCTCATCTATCGGATGTGACCGGGGCCACTCGCAGGTATAGGAGGGCATCAACCGGTCCGTAAAACCTAAGGGGCATACCCGGGGGCGGATCCAGCCGGCGGCGATGGGGGGGGGGGGGGGCACTTTGTGAGAAAAATATTTAGAGGCGCGTTCCGCGCTTGAGCGGACAAATTTTTCACATTGAATTCGTGCCATTCGGTGTATACTTTTTGCCAGGATATCATTAAAAAAACTGTGACTCTTTCCAGCACAAATTTATGATAATTGATAAGCCTTGGATTTTTAGGAGGTTTTCCACTTTATTTACTTGTTTACAATTTGTTTATAAATTTGATGAATTAAAACAAAATTTGCATAATTCCAAATGATTACTTTCTGTTGTCTATGACCCTCGGGCATAATGATCTGTCTGGTTGCCTGATGTAAGTGATTGACGTGATCGCTGGGCTATTATAATGAGAACGAATCAGGAAATATTGGATTTTGTTATAGGGAATATTATGATTTTCAACAACATGAAGCAAATAGTAAGCTTCTAATAACTTCAGATGTCTGTTTGATTTTGATTAAAATTTGAGTCATTTGAAGTAAAAAAAAAAATAAGATCATTACCATGGAAAAGCAGACCAAGTAGCGATCGTTGAATTTTTGCGACAATCGTTCGCCATTGCTGCTCTTTAATATTTTCATGCAGTAACAAATTGAAATTTCAGGACTCATGACAAATTCGTAACAGTTGACAGGGATTAACTGAGAGAGATACAGAGGAATTGTTTCACCATTAACGACGAAGTATTATGATTATCATGATTTTTTTTTACCGCCTTTACAATGGTATTTGAATGGGGAGAATAATCAAAGTTAGGCTTCCAGGGAAAAGTTTCAATTGTTGTTAATACATTTCAGTTGATTCTGCTCGATTGATTCTATTGTTCCGATTATTAAGCTGAGAAAATTGACATCCTCATGACTAACGACATTGCACTATTATTCTTACTTGTTCATCGTCTCTACAATGCTATGTGAACAACATTTGATGACAATAAACGGCACTCCGGTACTATTTAAAGTGCGGGTTCATAGAAAATCACAAATATGGCAAATATCGTATTACTAGAAACTGGTATGCTGACAGATGGCCATCATGCAAGTTTTAGGTTAACTACATATCGGGTGATTTATAAAAATACAAATAAAACAACCTCCATAGCATCTGGGATATGCGAGAGATTCGCCCGAAAATAACGATGTTTTAATGCCGTCACAATATGAACCAATCCTGCCCAAGCAGACGACATCCCATAGAGAATGAACATAATTGCAATGCTTTTATTTCTCAAAGTATAACGAGTTTAGTGTATATAATTGTAATGGAATTTTACACCTTTCAAAAAGGGATATGACCCCCATTCTGATAACTAATTTTTTTTTTGTAAATACACAGGATAGGAGTTAATGAACAATCAAAGAAACCACACTTTCAAATTAAAAAACCTCCGGAATGGTAGCATGGACGTCATTTGTTCCCTCTTGAAACGCCGAACATGCCGCGGCGTATGCAGCTGAAAATACAATGGCGTCTTATTTTGTTTACAAGCGACGGATTCCTTTTTTTTGTTAATCCTCGCATTTTTCATCAAAATAATACCATGCACGGGGTTTAGAGTGAGGCAATAGATTAAACATTTCGCTTGAGAGCATTGAAGTAAGAGAAATTACTGAAGAAAACATGACAAAACAGGCACTGAAATTGTGTGAGATGTCATGGGACATCGTCTGCTTGTGCACGTCATGTTCAACATGTGACGTCATATCTCAGCAGCGACCGGAGAGCTTTTCAGGTGCTATGTCAGGGCTGTATCTAAGCGTTTTGTAATTGTTAATAATCATAACTTCGAATGTTTCCAAGCATTGGCTTTTGATAACCTTGGCCAATCAAAGTGTCACCTTTGCAATAATGACATTAAAGTTATTTTTTTAAATCAATGAAACTTCTCTTTAATGAAGCGTCATATTGCAATCACACGGCAGATAATTGATTATCAGCACCGGGTTTAATAATTTAAAGGTAAAGACCAGTTATGGTCATGCGATTGCATTGTGAAAGAAACGTTGTGGAATCGATCAGAAAAGGTTGATCATCTAGCATCTAGCATCTGCAAGGTTCTGGAATCATCAAAATGATAAGAAATTTGGCCTATTCTTCGTAAAGTTACAAGCACTATACACAGAAAGATGTACATGGGACTACCCTATATCTCTCACAGACCATGAGAGAAACAAATTTACCAAATATATGAATTAGTAGGCGGTTTCCTGGCAAATTTTTTATCATCATGTATAGTCAAAACATATTCTTTCACATGATTGGTAATGAGAGCTTCCATTTCATATTTTGAAATTGGGGCGTTTCCAATACTGGTCTTTACCTTTAACGAATACTGAATTTGAACCCGGCCTTCGCTCGCTCACTCTCTCTCTCTCTCTCTCTCTCTCTCTCTCACTCTTGTCATTGTCTTCCTTTCCCCTCGCTTATTACTTCTTACCACGGAGTATGTAATGTGTATGTGTATGCCTCAATCATAGAGAATATAATCACTAATATCGCGCAAAATTAAATGATACTTCTCCTTCTCCTTCTTCGTCATATTCTTCATCCTAGTAGTAGCAGTAGTAGCAGAAGTAGCAGTTGTAGTAGTACTACTACTACTACTACTACTAGTAGTAGTAGTAGTAGTTGTAGTGGTAGTAGTAGTAGTAGTAGTAGTAGAAGTAGTAGTAGTAATATCAGCAGTATCATACTAATCATTATTATATTTATTATCATTGGTGTTTATGCACCATGTGAGAGAGAGGGAGGATTGGTGTTGTTGCTATAATAGAAAATATCGTAATTATTATTATTATTATTATTATTATTATTATTATTATTATTATTATTGTTATTGTTATTATCTTAATTATCTTTATGCCCCGGATTTATTTCTATAATACAACCAATATGTTTACCAAAACTCTCGATTCGTTGCTGAAATACTATCAAAAGAAAAGTAGAAACATTAGAGTACATATTTTAAATTTAAAACAAATATAAAGAAGAAATAAGTAGAGAATACAATCATGACAATAGAAAATATGTCATAAATTAAATGTCTTTAAGTTTACCTTTATTTGCATCTGGCTCGAGTTTGGCTTGGGTATTTGGTACTGGATGAATAACATGGTCAAACTGATCGCATTATCTCTTATTCATTCTAGTTGTAATGTTTTTTGGATGTTTTCAAGACAATGTCATGTTTGTCGATCATAGCTCTATGAAGCTTGATGTCTCATGGTAATTTTTTAGGAAAAGCAAACTAAGCAACGATTGTTTAATTTTTGCGACAATCGTTCGCCATTGCTGCTCTTTAATACTTTGTAACAAATTGAAATTCCAAGAATCATGACAAATTCGTTTAAGAGTTGATTACGCTTGGTTGAGTCCACTGTTCGCAGGAATTAGCTATTAAATCGAATATTCTCACCATCAAGGACGGAGCATTATAAAAAAAAATTCACCGCCTTTATGCTTTTTTAATGGAGAAATAAACAATCAATTGTTAGGTCCCCTGGGAGAAAATTCAATTGTTTTTAAATCATTATAGGCCTAAAACACGAATTAGGTCTAGTTCTGACCTGAAAATCAGCCGATTAAGTTTATATTACTCAATGAACCCCACTTTACCAGAAGCGTAATCATATTAAGAGGCATTAAAGTAATAATTAAAAAAAAATAAAGTCAAGTGTAAAAATCAAATATTAGGCTCCCTGGGAGAAAATTCAATTGTTGTTAAACCATTAAAGGCCTAAAACACGAACTAGGGCTAGTTCTGACCTGAAAATCAGCCGATTAATGTTTATATTACTCAATGAAATCAACCCCGCTCTTCGTCTGAAAGTCGTTATTATACCAGAAGCGTAATCAAAAGAGGCATTATAGTAATAATAAAATACGAAAGTCAAGTGTAATTGCCGAACTTTGTGCTTTTGTGGTTATGAGGATTAGGTTATTATTTTGTACATAAAAACCAGGGTCTTCTGTGAGATTCTTGGAAGCATCAACTGGCAAGAAATTTACTCGGCCTCGCTGAAAAGCATACTTGAACACAATCATGTGGGACCGCATAAACACGTGGCACTTTGGTATACACATTTCTGATATTTTTCAATCAAAGCTAGAATTCAATAGGAGGGTATTTGAAGAGCAAAACTTTTCAGGGGACAATCCTAATATGATATTCTGTCAAACTGACATACAAATAATGAGATTTTGGTCACATTTTTCTCTCCAACCTGCTGAACCTTCTTTTATTTCATTATATTATTTTCTTTCAGCTCCATATTTTCGAAGTGGAGGAGACGATCTACGCGCCCAATGACTTATCTTTGGCGGGCGGCGTCGGGGTGATGACTGCTGTCGTAAGAACAAGTTATCTTTCGTCTCCAAGCAGGGTGGCGTTCGTCGTAACAAAACATGCCGTTAATCTAGACGTGTTCATCGAAGGGGACGGAGGTCTAAAGGAAATCTATCTGGTAAATCATTACCATGTACTTTGTCACTTGCTTACAGGGCTCCGTCGAAAAACAGGCCATATGACCCTATAAAGGGACTACCTTGTATTTCAAAGAAGACTAAATAAATAAATAAATAAAATCGTTTAAAGATTGTTTAGTCATTTAAATTTAATCTTAAAAACAGATTTCAAATTTATTTTATTTATTCAAATCCAAACCTGAAGGAGCATTCTTACCTGACAATTAACAAGGGGATAATAAATTCGAACTTCTAGTTATAGTGCCAAAATGCAGTTTACAAAACTACTTGAGTTGAAATGTCAAATTTACAATAGAGAGAAAATCATAGCAACAATTTAGAAACTTCTTCGGGCCTTTTCGGGAAGATAGCACATGAGATGAAAATAGGTTACACTTTCATACTATCCTAGACACTCTAATATTTCAGCGCGGAGCACAATATTATGATTATTATAATATTAACATTATACTATTATCACCAATAGCATTTTTACATAAATACAAAAATATCACAGATCTACTGATCCCATTTATGATAAGTACAATTATAACTATTAATATATAGAATTATACAAAATCAAGCTACACGAATTTTAAATTTTACACAAATTCAACTTGACATATAACACCATCCATTATCGTGGAAAACGATCGAAAAAGAAGAGGAGAAGAAAGTGTATTAATGGCCGGAATCGGTGTATAAGTGGCGAAGCGTGCACGGCTGTGTCCGAATAGCCCCATTATGCTGATTGGTTGTTGATTCCTTACGATCATGTTTAATTTGTCTCTTTCCAGATAACGCCCTGGAAAACAAAGAGCAGTGTGTCCGTCACCAGCATCACACCTACCCCTCGGATTATCCAACTTGACTGCAGTGATATTACGACCCCGTCAACCAAATTACTCTATTCTACAACGAGTCGATGTGAAAGGGAACAAATTTACCGCTACTTTTACGCCACTTTAAACACCGTGACGACCGTTACACAAACTGAACGCGCGGATGAATGGATAATTGATATGAGATGACGCGTTTTTTTCTTTTTCTTTGTTCTTACAAAGCAATATTTGAAGTAAATCGATCATTATTTTATTGAAACTACCAATATGTCATGTCATCGGTCACGGAATACTTCTTTGAGACTTGGACATCTTGGCTGGGCATAAGGCTCTCTTCTTTTGCCTTTTTTTCATATATTTTTGTATAGCTTACATGGTACTCTACCGAAATGGACCTTTATGAATAACTGAAAGTAATATTCCCCGAAATAAATAGACACATATCATGTAAATCAGGTGCGGTATAACAATTTCTGGGGGGGGGGGGGGGGAGGGTTGAGGGATGGGCTGGGGGGGGGGCGTGGGAGTTCTTGTATTATTGTTCTATATGTGCCTTGTTTAAGCTTAGGCTATTTATATTTTTTTTGGAGGGTGGGGAGGGAGAGGGGAGGGGGGGGGGGGGGGGGAGGGGGGGGGGAGGGTAAAGAAAAATTTCAGGGCTTGAGCCTCACGAACCCTTATAGAACCGCTGCTGATGTAAATTAATCTAACTGAAAATAGAAATGTAATCATTGTGATACGGTATATTGATGAAGGGTCTAATTGACTCTAATAGTAATACGAGAAGTCCAGGAATTGATCTTTGGTCTGTGTACTAATACAAAAATGATGGGTAAACATTGTCCAACAGGGGCACAGAGGGGGTAATTATGAGTTTGACAAACTTCCTGGTAATTTCATGCCCACCTTGTATGTAGCATTGTAATTAGTGTCTTCGTACGTGCCAAATTGCCTGGAATAATATTGTTCAACAAAAGGGGGAAGAGTGTTTACACACATGCAGAGTGGATATCAAAATCATGCAATTACCAGTCCAGGGTAATGAGAACGAGCCTTATTTTGAAACAGAATGAAACCCAGGTCTGATGGAACCTCCTTCAAAGTATGATGCCTTGACAAAACCTTTATGATGCTACTGATTGAGCCAATTTGCATATTTGGAGGGGAGCCACGAGTATCGAGCTACATGACAAGCAATAGGCCATTATAATCAAATTTAATTCGTGTTCCTTTGTGAAGTGCCTTGTTACGAATAACCTCATTTCGGTTGTCAGAATAGAAATTGCGTGTGTTACTTGTTGTTAGGTAAGCTGACTTCTACTAAGCAGGCACGTAGCCACGAGGGGGGGGGGGGGGGAGCACGGGGGAGGGGAGGGGGGTTGGCACGTGCCCCCCCCCCCAAATTTCCAAGATCGGTTGAACTTTTTTAGACCCCTGTTTTGACCTCGATCGATTACATGTAGGTGCCCCCCCCCCCCCAAAAAAAAAAAAAAAAAAAAAATCAAACTCTGGCTACGTGCCTGCTACTAAGCATCAACTAATGTATGCAATTCACATTCAGCCTAGTGTATTGTAATTGCTCCTTGTAATAATATGTTTCCTGTTTCAATGTGACATTAAATTACATTTACACAAACGCATTCTGTGAGCCTAAATCTTATAATACGATAAAAGAATTAGAAAGGGAAAAAAGGGTTAGTATACTAGTATTTAGATATGAATGGCATATAAAGGGCTAAGCAGTAACTGACTGATGATAAAAAAAGGCTCAATTTAAAGGGGGGTATAGCATGGCAAATACTGGTTAACCATATTGCTCCGATTGTCTAATTTGCCAGCACAAAACACTGACCTCTACCTCCTGGACGGATCATCGCCCATTCCAATTCACTATACGTTACGTACTAAAAGGCTGTATTGTCTGACCGTTCATGAATATTCATGTTTTTGCTAAACTCGGCAAAATGTTTGCTTTTACTAAATGGAAAAATTACGGTGGGGGGTTGGATGAAATGGACATAATAAACATAGCAGAAGTGATAATTGATAATTCATGCTTCTTATCCTTCGTGTGCTTGACCTATAATCTTACAATCACTTGGCAGACTGAGTCCAAAGTTCGACTTGTTTCACACGTGTATTGTAGGCAATGGCGAGCTTGCAACCTATTTTGAAAAATTACGGTGGGTGAACTTTCAAAAGTCAATGAGACATGAGGGCTCCAATGAAAGAGCTAGTGATAACGTACGTCGGGTGGATGTGCTTTTCGTTTAAACAAAAAATGAATTTTTAACGATTAAAAAAAAAACGTCTATAGGCTAACATGTATGGCTGCTTACTCTGACGATAGGGGGCGTTGTGAAATGAGACTAAACGGAGCTATATGGACATCTACGACTTATTTTGGACAACTGCACGTAAACGAATTTACTTGATTAAAGGGACTTTGTAACATTGTTCTGATGAGAGATAGTGGTGCTAAGGTAGTGACTTCAATGCTAGATGTACAATTAAAGATAATCTGAAAATTTGAGTGAAAACGGATCATTATTCATGGTACAAATTGGGAAAACTGATCTGATCGATTCCTTAATTCTCCCAACTATATTATTCTACTTTTATTCTGCTACTTGTCAAAGCCTGTTCAGCATCAAGACAAGGACAATTTAATTACATTTTAGGTGAATGTAAATCGTCACAAAGCAATAAAATGGCTCTACATTACATTCCAGACAGTTAAGTGTTGACAGATTTGTATAGCCTGTTTTATGTATTTTTCTCATGGAAAAACGGTTGGGAAAATTAAAAAATGGTTGGGAGAGTTTACTGTTAATCACTGTTAGAGGGTGCCTCCCATCGACGCCTTCAAAGAAAACCATAGATATCTTTGTGGTTTGAGAATTTGTTCAGGATTTTTTGCATGTCAGAGAGTAAGTATTAACAATGTTACCGAGTCACTTTAAAGGTATTACAAAGTTTTTTCATGGTCGCAGCTACCATTTTACGGCCGTATGCGCTATTTGGAATTTATCAACATTTACCGGGAGCACCGGTGAATTTTTATATTCAACCTGTCTCGAAAGCAGAAGTGTTTTAGGGGCTATATTTTCTAGCGCTTATAATACATCCACACACAGTAAAAACGCTGCTTAAAAAAGTGATGTTCACTTACAGTTGTACACTATCTTAAACAACAGTTGAACAAATTGTAAACAATGTTGCTCGAAACGAAAGTAATTTTGTTAAACATTCGCTGTTTAAAATTTAATGACTGCTTTATTTACTATACGAGAGCTTTTAGACAGTGTTGTTTACATATGACGTCATGTGTCACGTGCCAGTAAAGTGCGTGTTGGCTAAAAGATTTGTTTCAAATCATGGCCAACCAAGCTGTAGACGTGTCGTGGATGAGTGGAAACGTCGCCGGACTGTCGATCACAAGGTCCACGGTTCGAGTCCCGCCGCGGAACTAATGTCCTATGGCAGCCTAGCATAGCCGGGTAATGTTGGAGCGCCTTGAGGACCTTGCAAGGTCGATACGTGCGCTATATAAGAATCCAATATTATTATTATTATTTAACAACAGCTCCTTTTTAAACAACTTTCTTTAAACAACCCAGTTGGTGTAAACAACCCCCACTGAACAACAGCTCCTTTTTAAACAACTTTCTTTAAACAACCCAGTTGGTGTAAACAACCCCCACTGAACAACAGCTCCGTTTTAAACAACCGTCTTTAAACAACACCAGTTGTTTAAATTGTGATTTTAAACAAGTTGTTCAAAATGTTGATCAACTAAGTGTTTAAACTTTAAACAACTCGAGTTGCTTAACATTTTAAACAACTCTTAGATCAGGTCACCCGTTAATCAACAGTTGTTTAAACTTTTAAACAACATGTTCACTAAATTTTTAACTGTGCAGGAACATCCAAAGATATCAAAATTGTAAAGAATCACTATCCACGCAATTTTCAAAATTTCCCAAAACTTTGTATTACCTTTAACTGGGTCAGCGCGCGCTAGCGTTCGCGAAACAGACCGAAGTTCTCCTCACGCTTCGGTTTCGCGTATGTTGCACGCAGTATCGTCATGCTACAGCCCCTTTAAGGGCTAAGTTTCACCCAGTACCTTAATCTATGGATGACCATCTCCAAACTCGATATACAATAATTCTTTTTGTAAATTACCTAAAAGCAAACGATTAAACAAAATTATAAAATGTCGGGAAATGATAAGAGAAATTGATTTCAGCTTGTGATTTCTGTTTGTTCATTAATTTACAGAATGATGATAGTTTTACGGGATGATGGGGTGGTGGACACTTAGCGCTCCATGTTATTAAGGGGACTAACAATTTGTCTACTTGAATCTGGAAAACAGTTACGCTATGATGAATACCGGCCTACATTGCTACTACTAAGTGTGAAATATGTAAGGTACAAAGGTTGCTAATAATATACACGTGTCATGGTTATATATAATTTTTCAAAGGAACAAGCCAATTAAGCGATTTCATGGCAGTTAATGCCCTTAGCTTATACGTGCGTGCTTCACCACTTTACTAAATTACCTTTCTAACGGCTCTCATCTACTGTGCATTGTTCTTATAGATGACGTATCGATAAAGACGCGTTCAGTATGTTCCATGCACTGCCATGAGTGTTTCAGTAGAGTGGCGTAGCTAAAGGGGGCATCAAAATATTAAGAGAATGAGAGGGGGAGGAGAGGGACAGGGAGATAGAAATAACGAGAGAGAGAGAGAGAGAAAGGGGAGCGACGGAAGAGAGAGAGAGAGAGAGAGAGAGAGCAAGAGCCATACAGAAGGGAGGTTAAAAGAAGATGATAGATGATGAATTATGATTTAAAAAATAAAAAATACCTTGACAGGATAACCAATGGAAGCTGGTTATAAGCTTAACTTGTGAATGTATCGAGGTTCCACTGAATTTGCTAGCTGAGTCGACGAGCGTATAATGCCTGTCGAACACGGATTTTAATACAGCCTAGCGAATGACTGAAGCCTTCCCCGTATGTGAACGTGCCCATTCCTAGCCAAAGTGTCAATACTAAAGCAGTGATTACTTATGATTGATTAATAATAAAAATAAAGCAATGATGCAAACTTCATGATACTTCCAGTGAACTGGAATAAGAAATATATTGAGAAAACATGGTGTTAGTGTCCAGAATATAAATTGTGTTCGTATTTGTATTATTTTGAAGAATGCGTTATGTCAATATATGAAATCGTCTGGAAAAGATCTAAACAGAATTTTTAAATTAGTAT